TTATTATGAATTTGGTGCGTTGATATACGTTTCTGGCCAAAGAATATTTTCACGTAAGTTTATTAAGGTGAAACTATAAGGAACATTGACACTTTCTTCTTAATTTTGGGATATTGAAATATTTGACAAGTTTGAAAATCTTTAAAATTGCTCCTAGCTCGAGATGTTACCAACCGGTGGAAACTAACGATTTTAAATTGGCTCACTACTTGACTAGTTTATTGGTCCCAAGCAAACGATTAACGTACCACATTCTAGTCAAAATTCTAGTACTACACAATGTTTATTTTGATTCGCTATGAAAGTTTGACAGATAAAATCAGGTATTCGTGGATTTTCGTATGTTTCGAGGGGTGCATCGATTAGCTTGGGACCGAAGATAGTATCAGAGCTGAGCCAAAAATTTGAGCACGTTTCTTCGGGACCTTCTTGTCTTAGAGTTACCTCTATGATGTTGCTATGGCTGGAATCTTTTTCAAAGCCTGTGTTTTTTTTTTTTTTTAATTCAGGGTCTTGATTGAAAAGTTTCTTTTATTCTGGGCTTTGAATATATATTTTTCCATATTCCAACGCCTTGGTGCCCGGTTCAAGAGTTGATGGGTCGATAGGTAGGGCCTAGGTGTGGGAGCTGCCTTCGAAAGTTCGAACCTTGAAACTGAAATACGTCCCAGAACCTTAAAGAAATGGTCCATGTCTTGGATTTATAAAACATAATGTTTCTAGTCTAAGTACTTTTCCCAGGATTTAAATTGATCCAGTCTGAGCATTCTAAAATAATATATTGTTTAACTTTTCTACATGGTTTGTGGTATCATTAGTTTGTAATGCAGCTATGAATAAGGATTGAGAAATATTTTCCGGAATTTAAATAAAATTCCCTGAGATTCCCTGATTTTCCAGGTTATAACAGGAATTCCTTGAAATTCCCACATAAAGGATGTGTTCGTGGAAAATGGCACACACATAAACAGCTGTAACTTTTTTTTTATTATTATACCAAATGACTTGAATTTTTTTTTAGTCAATAACGTACATAGGGTAAATTATGGCTTCGGCACCCATTGACTGTTTTCGGCAACCGAAATTGAAACGTTAATTTCACTGTATTTTCCCATCAAAACTCTTCGCTGAATGTATTAAGCCGATTCCTTACCTTTTCAGCTTCAATCTGATTACATTTTTACGACTGTGCAATCCTGTTCTTCCATATTTTTCTTTAAATGAAATATACACACTACAAAATACGGTTGATTTCGAGTTGCCGATAATAGAACAGCTGGTTAACACGCAGTTCAAATGGAAAGGGTGCCGAAGAAAAAGAGACTGCCGACAATAGTCACACTCACCTGAGAAGTTTGGAGCGTTGTAAAAACATGTTCAACCCGTTTTGATCAATTCTGTCGATTGGAATTGGTAGAACAGCAAGCAGCAGATGAATGTCAACAAACAAACCTGTCATGTATTTGTGTGACGCTGAGAAATCGCTAATAGAAGTTCGGACGCTGCTTAGATTGACGAGAATACGTAAATTCCCCTATGTGATTTTGATGAGGGTCTGCGAGGTGGTCTAATAAATTTTGCACAGTTCCAAATTTGAATTCAGCGGTTATGCAAGGAAATTCTTTCGGCATTGTTGCTTTTAAATCTTGGAACCAAATCATTTTCTTGGCAAAATATTATAATTAAAAATATTGTGCGGTTTGCCAGAAATTTCACTTCAAAAATTTGACTCATTTAAAAAATCAACACCTTACTAAACAAATAAGTAATCAATTCTTTTACGCCTAACAAACCCCGTTTTTCCTAACACACTTTAAAGATTCATAATCAGTGAATAAATTGCACAAAATGTCAAGTCATTTTTTATAATAGTTAAAAAGTTACAGCTGTTAATGTGAGTGCCATTTTCCACGAATACACCCTTTATTCCAGGTTTTTTTTCAGGTAGTCGACACCCTGTATTTGAAGTATAAAAAATGTGAAATTTAAGTGAATCATGCTCGTTTTCTTTGTCTCATCGCACTTAATTTCACTTAGGTTTCATGCATTAATTGATTATTTGATTATTGATTTGCTAATCAGAATTGTAAAAGAGTGTTTGCTGTATAAACCTCTACATTATAGACTAAATACACGAATTAGTTGAGGATTAGCCCTCATTTTACACAGGTATTCTACCATAGATATCAATATTTATTATAATGCAGAAACCTTTTATTTGCCATCATTTTTAATTTTCTTGTAGTCATTTATGCAGAAAACAAATCATATACATTCTAAATTTCAGCTTAATGCTAAAGTGGCCCAATTGATATGCTCGGTATCGATAATGTTTCGTTCAACCCTCATGATCCATGTATCGATATCTGAAAATAAGAATCGGTTATACAACTTAACTACAGGCTCTATGCAATGCTGTCAATAAAAGATTCCAACAGAGAGAAGTACGTCTCGCCCGGATGAGTATTCTCCCAAGACTGCCGAGTGGAATTTCTAAAAACAAAATCTCACTCAATTGAACCGCTCAAATCAAATTGATAACTGAACCGTAATGGAACAAGTGTTCAAATTGTGTTACCATCTACCTCTACCCACAATTATCACATTTGAACAACGGCACCATCACTCTTTTACGCAAGCGTACGTTTTACAAGTAAATAGATTAGGTAGAACCATGAGACGATAGGACCGTGTAGGTTATGACCTATCCAGGATTAATCTCCCAGTTGGAAGTTTCCTCGTACCTACGCAAATTTTTTTAACGAAAATAAATTTCTTCCTTGGTAACAAAATGCGAATTATCATTTACCTATCATTATCATTGGTTCCTAGGAACAAGGGAGAGTATCGCAAGGAAGCGAAATACTGTTCTTATTTCAACAAGCATTGTATCAACATTATTTCTTCTTTTTCTTCTTCTTCTTCTTCTTCTTCTGGCTCTCAAGTTAGTGTTCTATTTAAGCAATGACATTTATATAAGGTCTGGGCCAACAGGCAGCTTGCTGGTGTTAGAAGCAAAAATGTTGTAAACATTGCTGAACATCTGCGAACAGATAGATATACGTCACTGCCAACAGCTGTTTCGTGTAAAAAGATAAACATTGCAATATAATACGAACACCACTAACCATTTGCACATTTCACTAACACCAATAAGCCCTTTGGCCCAGACCTTATATAAACGTCATTGCTATTTAAGTACTTCCAAAGTTGTTTATCTGATAGCTCCCAAGGGTGCAAAGTGTGTGGCGATGCTGTAAACAAGCACGCGTAAACAGGCATACTGTGTTTCAGCATCACCACGCTCTTTGCACCCTTAGGGTTTTGTCAGCTATTTGATAGCTTTCTAGGCCTGTCCCATTTTTGAATTAGTATTATTGTGTGGCACAAGTACAATCATAGTTTATCTTCTTTCCTTTATTTAACGTCGGTCTCTGTTCCGCAATCTAGTGCCAATCACCGACGGACATCGATTGCCATCCATTGACGGCAATCGAATGTGCAGGAAGGCAGCTTCCACACCTGCGTAGGATATCGCACCCATTAAACGCACATGAGCCGGGACCAGAGATTTTTATGCCTCAGAAAAATCCCACCGACCTGGGCTGGGATTGAACCCAGACCCATCGGGGTGTTAGAAAGCAGTCACGCTTACCACTACACCACCGGCGCCGGCTAATCAATCATAGTTTATGTCCAGATAAAGTCGAACAAATTCCTCGACCGGAACGGGAATCTAACCCAGATGCCTTCAGCGTGATCTAGCTTTACAGCTGCGCCTTTACCGACTAAGCTAAGGGGGGTCCCAACATGTTTTAAGTTTTTTTTTTTTTATAACCATAAGCGATGAAAGGCTAGGACAAGAGTTATTTCTCATGTCCCAACCGTCAGATCAAAATGGAGCATCACTTAAACTTTCTAGCCTAGATGCTTCCAACCACAAGCTAATCATATAATTACCAAAAACGGAACGTAGGGTTTGAGATGCCCACGGTTCATCCCACTAATAAAAAATAACCATAAACGAACGATAACCCAAATCATTGAACTATTCCACAAATGGTTTGGATGATACCCAGAACACGTCGTTAAGCAAATTAACCATACAATTTTTATTAGGGCCATTTAGTGGATACTGAAGCATAGTGTTTAGATCTTCGATTTAAACAGGCCTAATGCGTTCTGGATCATCTTGCCCCTATAATGATGCACAGTAGGCCGGCCGTTTTGATATGTGTGACGCATCTTCGATGTGAAACAGATATCAAAATAATGGGTAATTTCCCAGGAAGCTTTCAAGATCTGGCTGTATTGGTGTTAGATTAGATTAGATTAGATTAGATTAAATTAGATTATGGGGATGAATCACAACAGTTATCAAAAGATATGCAACGTTTACTCACGCAATATAGAAAATCATACGATAGGATGTTATCATTTACGTTTTCAACAATATTATTCCGAAAGTGTGCTGTATCAAACAACTTTCTAATGTGAATCTTGTGCGTCACATTGCAACTTTCTTTAACGCACTTTCGTTTGCTTAAATTGACACAAACAAACCCCGAAATCAGAACTTTCAATAACATAAACATTGCCAAATGTCAAAAAACCATCCCAAGTTTGCGCTCATTTGGCACGTTACAGCTTCTTGGCTGATGATAATGGCTCGGAGTCGAGTAATCTAGCCACCAAAGAGGTCAACCAATCAGCGCCGAGAGTGATAAGTGCTGTGCCTCCTTTCTTATTCATGTTGCTCAAACTCAAGAACACCATCCGATCCGAAGAAAGACGACACTCGCTCCAAGAACGGTATATAAGTACCAGTAGGAACCCGCTCGAGCATCAGTTTCCATTCAAGCGTGTGAAATGAAACAAAGTGTCGACTTTGAGAAGGGCTGCATTCTTAAAATCAAAAGTGATAACTATTATAAACAGGAAATAAGCTAGTTTCGAATCGTTCTGAGAAGATTAGTACAAGTTTAATTATATCACAAAAATCAAAAAATCAAAAAAAAAATTAAAACTATCAAAATAACAAAAAAAATAACGTTTTAAAAATGCCTCAAGTTATTGAACAATTCACCAAGTAAGTATAACTCTCCCAACAGCACCGTAAAGAGCTACAATAACGGAACTCTTTCTCTTCAGGCTGCCAACCGCTTTTGGCTGCTCTCCGAAGCTACGCTCCGTAACTGACAACCAAATCCGTGGCATCTCCATCGTCAATGGACACGTTGCTCAGCTATCGACCAAGATCCGTACCTTCGTCGAGGAATCCGTTGCCATGTGTCAACCGGATCGGATCCACATCGTCGACGGAAGCGAACTGGAAAGTGCCACCTTGATCAATACTCTTCACGCACTCGGAACCATCCAACCGCTGCCCAAGTACGACAACTGCTGGCTAGCCCGAACCAACCCAGCGGATGTGGCCCGTGTCGAGTCCAAAACCTTTATCTGTACCCAGCGCCGCGAGCAGGCCATTCCGACTCCCAAGGATGGCGTCAAGGGAACCCTCGGCAACTGGATCACACCCGAAGACTACGAGAAGGCGATCCGTTCTCGTTTCCCTGGATGCATGAAGGGACGCACCATGTACGTGGTTCCATTTTCCATGGGTCCGATTGCTTCCCCATTGTCCAAGTTTGGAATTGAAATCACCGATTCGGCTTACGTTGTCTGCTCGATGCGCATTATGACTCGCATGGGCCTGGAAGTGCTGCAGAAGCTTGCCGATAACTCCGTAAGTCTTGCGATAACCCCTGTCCATAAGGCCATTCGCTAACTATTTTTCTCTCACAGGACTTCATCAAGTGCCTCCACTCCGTTGGTACCCCCGCTAACGGTAAAATCACCATGCCATCTTGGCCATGCGATCCTGAACGTACCATCATCCTGCACAAGCCTGCCAACAACGAAATCGTATCCTACGGATCCGGCTACGGTGGCAACTCTTTGCTCGGCAAGAAGTGCTTCGCTCTCCGTATCGGAAGCACCATTGCCCAACGTGAAGGATGGCTCGCCGAACACATGCTGATCCTGGGCATCACCGATCCCAATGGTGTCAAGAAGTACATTGCTGCCGCCTTTCCATCGGCCTGTGGCAAAACTAACCTGGCCATGATGACCCCAACCCTACCTGGATATGCAATGGAATGCGTTGGCGACGATATTGCATGGATGAAATTTGATTCCAAGGGACAGCTACGAGCCATCAACCCTGAAAACGGATTCTTCGGAGTCGCTCCGGGAACCTCATCCGAAACCAACCCGAATGCCATGCAAACAGTTTACAAGAATACCATCTTCACCAACGTTGCCGCCACATCCGATGGCGGAGTTTTCTGGGAAGGTATGGAAAAAGAAATCGACCCTGAAGTAGAGATCACTGACTGGCTGGGCCAGCCGTGGAAGATGGGTGCATCGAAGACCCCAGCTGCCCACCCGAACTCTCGATTCTGCGCCCCGGCTAGTCAATGTCCAATCATTGACCCCGCATGGGAAGACAACGAAGGCGTACCAATCTCAGCCATTCTCTTCGGAGGACGTCGCCCAGAGGGTGTTCCACTGATCTACGAAGCCAACTCGTGGGCTCATGGAGTCTTCGTCGGATCGGCCATGCGAAGTGAAACCACTGCCGCCGCTGAACACAAGGGCAAAATGATCATGAACGACCCGTTCGCAATGCGCCCGTTCTTCGGGTACAACTTTGGTGACTACCTGAAGCATTGGCTAAGCATGGAGGAGCGCGCAGCTGCCGTGGGAGGGCACATGCCCAAGATCTTCCACGTCAACTGGTTCCGCAAGGGCTCGGATGGAAAATTCCTGTGGCCTGGATTCGGTGAAAACTGCCGGGTGTTGGATTGGGTTCTGCAGCGAGTGGACGAACACGAATGCTACGAAGAAACCGCCATCGGTCGCATTCCGTCGAAGGGAGCTCTGAACTATACCGATCTGAGCAGTCCGGTCAACGAGAAAGAGCTGTTCTCGATTCGGAAGGATTTCTGGCTGAAGGAAGTCGAGGACATTAAGCAGTACTTCGACAACCAGTTGCCGCACGATTTGCCCCAGGAGATCGCTCAGCAACTGGATGAACTGAAGAGCCGCGTTGCGCAGATGTGAATTGTTCAATAGTAGACTTAAGGCTTCGTATGTAAGGATTTAGAGGATTATTTAAGTATTATATAAGTAGACAATAAGGACAATAAAGAGTGTGTTCGTAAAAAATGCGATATCACTAAAAATCAACCTTTTATCGGATTCTTTCGAAATCTTCCTGTAGTGAAACACAACTAAAGGAACACCCACAAATGACGTAGAATTTGAGGGAAGAGGGGGTCAAATATATGCTACGTCAGTTATGGATGGTTCTTAATAATATAAGTTACGGAATGTTTATTTTATAATACCACCTTTCCTAGCCAAAATTACCACACTTTCTTATGGCCCTACCTATTATTTTTTGTTTAACAACTGATTTCACTAGTTTGATCTCTTTAAAATAAATTGTATTTTCAATTAATTTTTTATCGTTTTACGATGTTTTCAAAGTTTCTATATCAATTTAGCTCAAAATGTTGCAATAGGGCGAAGCTTCAGTGAATTTGGTGGGTTACAGTAAGTTGGTACAAAATGCTCATCATTGAAATCATTCCTAAGGGGGGCTTCCCGGGACCAATATCCTGAGATTTTCCGGGACGTTAAAAAATCCTGAATCCCGGGATTTTTTACTTAATTTCCAACTGCAACTTTATGGAGATTTTTGCTATAGAAATAAAGATTTGGACTATAAATTTTAAGCTCCTTCGTGATGTTGATGAATAATGCAAATAATGCCTTGAAAAAATATTTACCATTTTGGGAGGATATCTGAGAGATGGCATTAGAGGATTTTCAGCTTACAGTGGTGGCCAAATTATTGGAAGCGCTTGCCGGAAATTGCCGGGCCTGTTTGAAAATGGCCAACTAATTAGCACATTTAAATTCAAATTTTCCGAAGCGTTTATTTTTAAAAATTTCAACCATATTGCCAATAAACGACGGCGTGCTTAGGAAAGTTATTTACGATATGGTTAAAAATTTCCTTCGGCAATTAAGAACTATAAATAATGTGCAACCAGCCCGTCAATTTCGCGCAAGTGCTTCCAATAATTTGATATTACGTACACGCAAAATTCAGCATATTTGTAGTTCTGTGTAAAAATTCCAGCTCAATTTATAATAACAAAACATAGTTACAACATGCCAAAGATGGCTAGTTTGTATGAAAATCGGCCTATTGTGCTAATTTATAGGCCACCACTGAATATCTCTCCAGAGGACTTCATTGAAATATTCCATTAGTTGAAGATCTTTTGAATACTTCTTGAACAACCTTCCGTCTAGGGAGAGAATACCCTATAACTACTACAAAACTCCCAGAACATATACAAAATTCCTTCAAGTTCTAGAAATTTTCGTCAACTTCTACGCGGTTCTTGAACTTCTTCGAAGTTTCATATTTTTCTTCCAAGCTCACCTAATTCTAACAAGATCTCATAACATCTACGAACTTCAACGAAATTCCAGAAAAACCCTCATCATTTTTTAAGAAAATTCCTGGACATCTGGGAAATTCTCTGGAGAAGACTCCCACGAAGTTCACAGAGCTTTTTTGAAGTAAACTCTTAGACAAACGAAGTTCATTTAGCCCTAGGATCTTTTTAGATCCCTGAAATTCATAAAATATAAAATATTGAAATTTCCTAAACCATTAAAGATCCACGAAGAGCCCTGATATTAAAAGAAGAACCCGACGATTTATGAGGTTCCATGATATGAAACAATATTCCCAAAACTTCCACGATGTTCTCAAAATTTGTAAACACTCAAAAACTCAACCCTTTAAAAAATTTGGTCAAAGTTCAAAAAAACACAGACATATTTACACGAGGAACGAGGTTCTATGGGGGTGGTACCTAGCCAAAAGTTAGAATAAAAATCCAAGTTTATGAAAATCGGATGAGGCATTGCTGAGAACGAGTTTGTTGAAAAAAATTCGTTCGTCCTGGTACTTTACGGGTTAAATACCCATTAAGTTTGACAAGTATCAATGGTTGACAATTAAAAGTTTAAGAGCTTCTTCGGGTAGAGTTTCGTCAGTTTGGTTATTCCTGTTTCTGTTCATCAGCGATATAACCGGATCAGATGTAAGTAACAATCGATAAAATACATCCTCGATGTTGGCACATCGGCTGAATTTGCGAGAATGGAATTCACGGAATTTCCTTATGGATTTGTTGCGTGTCTCGAAAGGCCCACGAACATTAAAGGGTGTCCACGATGAAATTGCCACACACAAAATTGATTCGCAAAATTCGAGTTTTCATCCGATTGCCATCAAATTTTCAGGGATTGAGAAATAACTATTAAACTTCATTTTACCATTTTACTCGTATTTTATTTACAGTCCATACGCAAATGCCCGCACCTTGGCCTTAACCCCGGCCATAAGATTCTGCACAACCTGTGAATCAACCGTTTTTTGCATGTAAACCCATACTTTCTTCAGTTCCTCGACTGTCTTCACTACCTTAGGTCGTTTAAGAAGGTGCTGCTTCATAATCGCCCAGTACTTCTCGATGGGGTGGAGCTCCGGAGTGTTGGGAGGGTTGAACATTTTCGGCACGAAATTGACCTTATTGTCCGCATACCACTTCAGCACGTCCTTGGAGTAGTGGCATGAGACCAAATCCGGCCAGAAGATTGTTGGGACGTTGTGGGCCTTCAGGAGAGGAAGCAGCCGCTTCTGGAGGCACTCTTTTATGTACACCTGTCCGTTCATCGGATCGGACGCATTGCGGCAAAGTGACAGCTAAATCTATTGTCTAACTGTCAAATTTACGTCAAAGCAACGCAAACGGATCTAATGTGGGTGGCCTTTAAAGCTTCTTCACTCAACATCCCCACTGGAACAATAGAGTGTTTGACAATCGCACTACCGTGGACCAGAATTTTGTGCAGTGTTGGAGAGAGGTGATACCACCCTTACTCGCTGACTAGAGTATTCCAGTTGATTCTAGATAGGCACGAAATGCTTCACCGTTTATTTGGCGCTTACTGTTGATTACGACAAGAATAGTGTAGATTCTTTCAAGCAACTCCTTGTTTAGTCCAGTTATTTCACATACTGTACGCCACTCTCTGAAAAATTTTGCGTGCAGTGTTCCCGTCATTGCTGTTTCCTCCGCTTGGTAATGGTTCACTTATCCTGAGGCAGACCCCTTTCACTTTTTGGAATTTATAGAGACTGATAACAGCGCCAAACGGTTTGTGACTAGACAACGTTGAACTGCAGCGTTGGAAGAAAACACGCACACCAAAATCTATGCATGTACGAACCCACACCACTGAGCGGACGGTACAGCGCAAATCAAAACACAAAGTGGTGTCATCACTCATCGGCCGAATTCAGTTTTGGCAGCTTCCGTTTGCGTTTGCATTAACTGGTTTTGTCAAATACCTTCCTACGATATAAAATAGGAAATTAATCATTATTCCAACGTAATTTTTGTATAGAATCCGTGCTGCGCTTGCCAAAGAAAACGGAATATTTTATTTCGTTTGTTTAGCAATGATTTCGATACGTTGCATCTCCAGTGGTGTTGGAATAAAGGCCCAAGCGCAATAACAGCGGAAGCGGAACGGCAGCGGTAGCGGAAAAGCCCGATCTGAGTAAGCCTACTTGTCGGACTAGTTAGAACCAAATCGACTTCGGTTAGGCATCTTGATGTGATTTGTGACAACTTTAAAACTTTCCGTTTCCGTTCCGCTTCTGCCCACATTGCGCTTGGTTTGGGGAGAGGAAATGTCTTTTCCATGTTTCCTTCTATGCTTATAAAGATTATTTTGAGCAACAGCTTCGCCAATCATCAATTACTATTAGAGATTTGCATCTTATTGATACCGGTGGCGATATTGGAAACTCTTTCACTCGAAAGCAAAATGTATTAAAAGCCCTTCATGATGCGAGCTTCGAGGTGTGATTGATTTTCGCTAGTGTTTCTTTTGCGAATAAAGTGTCAATCTTGCTACCGCAATATAATGAGGATAAGGATGATATCGTCCGCGCTGGCATCTGTCATGCTGACACCTGTCAGTTTATTGAGCCCTGGTGGTGAAGTTGGCGGGGGACAAAAGATTGAATATGCTCTCACCAGGTGGCACTGCGATCGCATAAGGGTGGTGTATCCATTGTCTTGTTTGAGGAATTGAATAGTGGGATATCTTTGCCTGAGGCCAAGTTTGCGTTTTAACTCACTCCGTATTGTGATTTCTCGCTGACAAACACTTTCATTCGATTTTGTTGGCTTGTCCATCTCCGATCGATAGGAAATCTTTAAGAACACCTCCATCGTCCTAATTGCTAATCAAAGAAGGCTTTGCCGTTGCGTATCGCACGTGTAATGAATCAATTTAGCTTGACGGTGTCAAAGATACCATAACTTGCTATTATCACTACTTTATATGGACGCTAAGATTCAAATATGTATACTGTGGTATGCTTTGGAACAATCTGTTAAAACCTCACCTAAAAATCTTTTTTTCACAATTATCTTTTCATACATTGACTTCTTGCAAAAACATTGTTCTAGACACTTTTAGAACTTTTAATGGCGCCCAAGTAGTTTAAATACTATCTCCTTCATTTGAAGAGTTATGGAAGTTTTTTGCATAAAAATATTAATTTAAAAAAATTAAATTAAATGCTTTAAACAAAAATCGCTCTCACAGTTTTCCCACCATAAATGTAACAAACAACAATTTTTGAATGAAATTAAACATTTGGAAATCGGTTTGCTCATTTTAGAAATATTGACAATTGAAAAGTGCCATTTTTTTTGAAGAAAATCACCTATAACTTTCCAATAAAAAAAGATAGCAACTTAGTTTTCTGAGCAAAAGTATTTGTCATTGAAGGTTCTAAAAGTGTCTAGAACATTGTTTTTAAGAGAAATGAACGTATGAAAAGATATTCATAGAAAACAAATTTTTCAGGGGCCACCGTAACATGCTTGTTTAAAAAAAAATCATAACTCATTAACCATAAGAGATGAAAATTTGATGTCTTGGGCAAAGTTGCTGCAAATCAG